AATCTCGGAGTGCCCTCCAGGTTTTGTGACTGGGATGCCGAGGATCACAAAACGAGGTGTGAAGTAACCATGCAAATCACTTGGTACCCTTAAAGTTTATCACTCAATCGATGTGCCGGTAAACCACACACGCTCCACCGATACTATAATAAACCTTAAGTCACCCTTTACCTACCTTGTTAAGTCCAAGTTAGTGTGCCGGTTAACCACACACGCTCCACCAACGACTTAGACAAAGTGTAAAGTGTAATTTCATGGATTAGCACCTTATTCACATTTTTCCTAAAGTAACTAAGATTGGGAATTTAATAAACATTTAGTTACTTTATATATTCATCATACTTTGAATGAGAATTTATAAGTCCTTGTCTTACCCGTTCGGCTAACGACCCTCCACCAGTCAAGCAAGCGGTGGGTGAGAATATACACCCATTAAGTCACCATTTTATAGGCAACAACCTTATACCCACCTTATAGACCGGCTTCGTGAATGAGGCGTACTAGCGGTAAGACGACTTTATTCTTATACATATATATATAATTATTAAATCATCATAATATAAGTATAAGGGTTGAATTTTAACTTTTAAAATTCTAGGGGTTGGAACTTAAAGTTTTAACTTAACTTTACTTGTTCCAAAACTTGAGGGCAAGTTTTGTAACTTTCAAAACTTTTCATTTCTTGTAACTTATGAGTTTAATAGAGTAATAAAATGAAGACTCTTCATTTTTCTAACTCTTGTGTTTTCTTAATGGTTTTAACTCAAGTGTGACTCTTGGTTTTCCATAACTTAAGGATAAGTTATGGACTCCATTAAAACACATTATGATCAAGAATTAAACTACCAAATAGGTTACAAATAATTCCTATGATCATCTAAAACATCATAAGAACAAGAACATGAATATGAACACAATCAAAAATTACATAAAACTTTGTAATTTTGATAACTAGTTGTTGTAAATGAATTAGCAAAGACATTACACCACCAAAAACAAGTTTTCAATTACCAAAACAGTTTAGGGTAATGTTTCTAATTCATTTTCCAGCAACTGAATCGAAATTCTGCACTCAGTCGACCCTACTCGCCGAGTGCATAAACTGACTCGCCGAGTTGGTTGAAGATACTCATGGACTCGACGAGTCCCCCTATAGACTCGACGAGTCCATTCGCAGACAGCAAAATTTCCGATTCTGTTTTCAACTTTTAAGCACAAATAAGAACAAACAAGCCTAGGCTCTGATACCACTGATGGGTTTTGAGCATTCTAACACTTCCTAAGTGTACATGCAACCCTAATAACCTTGGATCTATGTTTGTCTAATTGTCATGCAAAGTTGAATTCCAAGGTTATATTCCTATCTAGCATACATGGGGAACAATTTTAACATAAAGTATAGATAGAATAACTTACCTTGTTGTTGCTTGTGTTCCTTGAAACCTTGTGAGCCTAGCACCCCAAGTGTGATGCCTCAAATGCTTCACACAACACCAAATGCTCTTGGAAGAACTTATGAGAGAATACACACTTCTTCAAAATCGGCCAAGCCCTCTTGTTTCTTAGTGTAGCCGATTTTGGGTGGAGAATATGTTACTTATATAGTGTTGACACATCCAGGGTTAAACCCTAATGTGTCATGACTCTTCATTTCCATGACCCATGGGTTTGTAACTCCCATGGAGCATCCATGGAGCATCCTATGGGTGGAACCCAACTTGATGGTCCATGGAGCCTTTTAGCCCACTATACAAGATATGGATGATTTACATAATCAACCCATATATTTAATTAGTTATCTTTTGATCACTTAATTAATTCTAAATTAATTCTTGATCAAACTAATCAAATAATATTATTAATATATTAGAACTTATAATATATTAATAATCTCCAAGTGTTATTTCTCTCATTTAGTCTATCCAATTGCACGGTGCCATGCAACCCAAATGGACCATGCCGGGTCGGGTCAAGTACATACCAGAAATAGTTATGGACTTAGACACCTTATCCAACAGATATTCAACACAAGTTCATGGAGTTCTTCAAAATAACCAAAATATTCAAACAATTACATCCAAGTCAACCAAATATGAATCTAGCCAAGCATGGCCAAAATGAAAGAAATGCAAAGTAGATTAGTGATACCAAACATTGTTCAAGATACAAGTTTAAAGGAAATTACACTAATCTTCCAAATATTTTTCAAATCTTCCAAAAGCTTCTTAGAGAGAATATGGAGTATGTTCTTCAACTCCTCCCCTTCAAATGAGCCTCAAATCACCAGTTAAAGAGAGCCAATTTTTGGATTCGAAAAGAGACCAAATGCTGCCCACCAAACTTCCACAAATAGAGTCAACAAGTCAAAACCCGAAAACAACTCAGCACAATTCATGCGGACCGCGTATGGTCCTACACGAACCGCGTGGGTCACGCTGAATGTGAAACTTGGGCCATTTAACATGCATTTAAGCCCAATCTTCATTTCTTCAACTTCAGCCCATGATAATAACTCTTTAAGACCCATTTTCCATTCCAAAGCCTTCTAATGATTGACCCAACACTCCTTAAATTTTCTTGTAGCTCGATTCCGTGCCGCCTCATCATCATCCGTGTCCATAAATTAGATCCAAATTGATTTCTTCTTTTACGCAAGCACCTAGACCAATTGCACCACTTCAAGTCTGCAAACAAATCACATGCCTCCATCAGTCCCGTACCCTTCTAAGCCTCCAATAACAAATAGTCTTCGGTAAATCCTGCAATTAAGCTCAAAAAACTAGAAAGCACTCGGTAAAGAAGAAAAATGACAAAAAGAGAAAATATGCATGAAGATTGACAAAAATGAGATGGTTTTAACTAAAAATAAACTATGAAAAGAAGTAATAAAAATGAAACTATCAAATCACCACAAGCTTGAACCTTACTTGTCCTCAAGTAAGACAAAACTAAAATAAACTTGGGATGAACTACCCTAAAAATAAAAAGAATGGATAGAACCATGGAACCTGTTCATCGTTAGTCAACATGGTCAGAATTCATCTCGCTGCTATCTTACAACTTTTTCATCTGATGTCAATGAAACCATAAACCACAGCCACGACAACTCCTTTAGTTGAGTAAGGAGGGATGAGCAGTCGTAGCCTCAATGGAGCATGCATATAATGAAGAATATTTGTAGTAGGGAGAAAGCAGTTGGATGGGCTCGGGTGGACCTCTTCTTAAAATGTTCACTCTGATCTCACGGTTTTCGGTTTCTCTCATGTGTAACTAGGTATAATCGCTCGGGCACCGTTGTAGGAATCGGCTCACTTGGTGTTGGCCCAAACCTCCCGTAGTATCCGACTCGACAGTCTCCCTAACATCACCAATTTACGAAAAACAACTCGATCTATATACAATAAAACATACCTAAATAAATGAATATCAAACGTCGGGTGAACAAAATGTTGGGAAATTTAATTCAATAATTGAACCGGTCACCCTTTTCAGATTTCTGCATCTGGGAATTTGCCTGTCCCCTTTTTTTTCTTTATTATTATTATTATTATTATTATTATTATTATTATTATTATTATTATTATTTAAACTAGAACAATGAAAATGTCCAAATGCGGACTAAAAGACTTCTCTAAAATCCTAAGAAAATCGCAAAAAGATATGGTGATGTAAAGAGACCGGATATGGATTCTACTCGGGAACAAGCACTAGTGCTTAATCCTAACGGTTCAAACATGATCAAGTGTGATCCTCTCAACGGTAGTGACCGCAAGGCTAAGACATCCATTCCTATAGTATATCCTACAGTCATTAGTATTGTACGTATAATTCTTCATGAAAACTACCTGGCCATGATCACTTACCCCGTTGAGCTACCAACATCTGATCCCAAGTATGAAATCTCAAGTTGCAGCTAGTGGTCCCGGTTCGATGGGTGAGATAGCAACAAGATCCTGGACCAATAATGATACAATAACTATGAACCTATTTCATGGCATCCAAGAGAGGTGAGAATAAATAGAAAACAAAAATGCATAAATGCTAATGCCCTAAGCTAAATGCTATGCAAAACTAAAAGATGAAAAAGAAGAAAATAAAATCTTTTTGGGGTTTTATATAAAAAAAATGAATGCAATTTATACTAAAATGCTATGCAGTCTAATTAAAATTCATGATAAATTAAAAAAAAAAAAAAAAGGAATACCCCACCCCAAGCTTAGAAATAAGCATTGTCCTCAATGCTTGGGGCGAGGTGGATGTACCTAAACTGGGGGATCGGGAAGAGGATATGGGTTTTGGGGGTAGGGGTAAGGGTAAGGTCGAGGGGGATAAGGATGGGTGGTTGGGGGTATGGATAGGGAGGCGGAAGTGGGATGTTCTCGAAGTGGTTTTGGGATTGGTGCCACCACCACATATGGTGCATTTGTTGGGACATGATTTGGTTTAAGACAGAAAGCTCCTCGAACCGCTCGGCAAAATTGGGGAGAAGCGGTTAGTACCCGGGAGGGGCTTGTCGATGGGTGTGTTGCGGACCATGGGTGGGCTCATCGTCGGACACGTCATCCATAGGCATCTCATCATCATCTTAATCTTGGAGCACATCCTCATTGACTGACTGAGTGATGGTCCTCGCGAGTCTCCACTGAGTGCAATCGTGGAAGGTGAAGTCGGTGACTCGAGGGTTGGGAAGAACGAGATACCCGACCCCTTGAGGACAAAACCATGTGAAGTTGCTCCTGTTCCTGCGACGGATGTGGTGCATGTTTATGAGGGCGCGCTCATCCAAAAGATTTTTGCTGTCAACAGGCTGGAATTCATCAGGGAGCTCGATGTCAAGACCGCGAGCCAAAAGAGTGACAAATCCCCCAATGCAAATATCATCGGACGTCTTGGATCTCATGTGGGCGCATTTGTGGAAGAAGAATGAAGCAAAGTCCTGGATTGGCGGCCTTTCATGCCTCATCATACACTAAAGGAAGAAGAAGTTCATTTTTGGTGACCTAGTCGTCTTCTTTGCGAGCAAAAACTATACACACCAGGATGTGATGGGCAATGCGGAGGCATGGGTGGATGATAGATGTTGCTTTATCCTGACTGGCACACGAGAAGATACCCCTGGTGATTTCCGTCCAAAATGTCTCATGATTGAACTCAGCAGGTAGGATGTCAAAAATTGTAGATGTGTTTGAGGAAGGCAAGCCCAAGATGTCGTTTATCGTTGCAAAATCGATGTACCTTCGGTCCCCTAGAAGTTGGAATGCAGCTTTCCTTTTTTTGTTGTCGTACCCGCTATCGGCGAGAAACTCTCTAGTGGGGAGCTCGTAAGTGTGCACCATGAGGTTGACAAGGTTTTCCCACCCAATGTTACGGAACAATTGGGTGACCCCTTCGACAACCCTAAGTGATATAAGCGTGGGCTTGCACATGAATTTGGTAGATGCAACTTTTCTAGGCAAGCTCTTTGTGTAGTTTTCGGCTGCCTTGGCATCCAGATACCTTGGGACATCGGGAGCATCGCTTTGATTTCTTGTCGGGGCTTTGCCTCGACCAGCAGTCGGGCGCTTCCTAGATGTAGACATAGACATCCTGCACGAAAAATAACCACTACACGAACCACAATTTCAACAAACAAAATGTCAATCCAAATCACCAACTAACTCCCTATGGACTTCTAAAGCAATTCAACAATCAAAGCAAGAAGTGATTCCTAAATTCATTTGATACAATAGCATATGAACGGACATGCATCTGAATCAATTACACAAAGGAAAGAAAGTACCCGTTTTAGTTCAAAGTTCAAAGTTTGCACGCGAAAATTCAGGATTTGACAATCTTGCAAATCTCCACCCCAAGCTTTAAGCTTTTGTTTAATATCCCAGGAGAATCAATTTACCGTGAAAAATCGACGAATCCGGCAATGGCTTGAAATTCCGGTGAAATTTTCCGGTGAGCTTTGGGAAATATTTTTGGTGGGGTTTGTAGCCTTGTGCAAGAGAAGTACAATGGTGGTGTCGGAATCATGAGAGGTGACTGGAGTTGGCCAGAAATCGGGTGGAAAGTAACGATGGGATGGTGGTGGCACCCCGAGATACAGTAACAGATCGGACTGTTGTTTTAGTGGGGTTTGTAGAGCTTTGAATTTGGAGAAGAATGGCGGTGGTCTCGCGAAATTCCGACCGACGGTTTGATAGGAAAGTAAGTTTTAGTGGTGGAGATGGAAGTGTTCTAATGGAGGTTAAGAGAAAGGAAGAAGAAGAATGGGGAAGAAGGAAGGGTCGGCTAGAGTATAAGTGGGGTTAAGTGGCGGTCAAACCTGGTAAAAAACGAGTCAACGCTGGTCAACAAGTCATGCGGACGCGGACGCGAGTACACGCGGTCCGCAAGAATAAACCCTTAGCTATTCTGATTTATCTTTCACGACACACGATCGACTCCTGCCCACAAACGGTCCGTTTTAATAAACACACGGACAAGCTTCCGATGACACACGGTCTGTGTGAATTGGATTGGAATTCTTCTGTTTTCGGCTTATCGACGTGGACACTTGAGGGACCACACGCGGACCGTGTTAATAAACACGTGGACAGGTCCTTGAGTACACGCGGACCGCGTGTGCTGGTTTGACCTATTCCGATTTTTTTTTTTTTTTTGCTCTTTCACCATTACGAACACCGGGCCCTTAATTCCAACATTCTTTTATCTCAACAAAGAATAAGAAGAAGAAGAAGAGATGTTAAACCCAAAAATGAACCAACCACGACATTTATTCGGAACTAAAGAAGACGAAAACTTTAGTTTTCCAAAAATGCCCTTCTTTAACGTCTTTGGCGAGACGTGCTTCCTTCTTGATTTCAGTACACCGGGGCATCCAATTGGATGACTTCTAAGATATGTGCATTAAAATCTTCATAGAAAGGTTTCAATCGATGCCCATTGACTTTAAAGATCTGCCCCATTTTTTCACTTTGAATTTCAACTGCTCCATGTTCAATGACTTTTAACACAACAAATGGACCTATCCATCTTGACCTCAATTTTCCTGGAAATAATTTCAATCGCGAATGATAAAGCAAAAACCTGTGTCCCAGCTCGAAATGTTTGCGGGTAATGGACTTGTTCTGGAAAAGCTTTGTTGTTTCCTTGTAAATCCTTGAGTTTTCATAGGATTCATTTCTCAACTCCTCCAACTCTTGGAGTTGAAGCTTTCTATGCCTTCCCGCCTCATCGATGTTGAAATTGCATTGTTTGACCGCCCAAAATGCACGGTGTTCCAATTCCATGGGAAGATGGCATGGCTTTCCAAAGACCAACCTAAACGGGGACATTCCTATCGGGCTCTTGTACGTGGTTCGATAGGCCCACAAGGCGTCATCAAGCCTTGAACTCCAGTCTTTTCTTGAGGGATTCACTGTTTTCTCAAGTATACTCTTCACTTCACGATTCGAAACCTCTGTTTGACCGTTCGTTTGAGGGTGATAGGCTGTTGAAACATGGTGGGTCACGTTGTACTTCTTCAATAGAGCCTCCATAATGTTGTTCCAAAAATGTGTCCCTCGATCATTAATCAACACTCTGGGCACAGCAAATCTCACAAAGACATTAGATTTTAAAAAGTCGATAACTGTTTTGGCATCGTCCGATCTTGTGGCTTTGGCTTCAACCCATTTAGAAACATAGTCAACCGCGAGCAAAATTTAAATGTTGTCAAATGAGATGGGAAATGGTCCCATGAAATCAATCCCCCATATATCAAAAATTTCACAAACAAGGATTGGATTTTGGGGCATTTGGTTCTTTTGCGAAATGTTTCCCATCCTTTGGCACCGCTCACAACTTTTGCAAAACAAATAACAGCCGCGTGACATGGTTGGCCAAAATAGTCCACATTCAAGAACCTTTCTCAAGGTTCGGCTAGGACCGAAGTGTCCCCCATAAGCAAATTCATGATAGAATTGCAAAATAGATTGATGTTCTTGTTAGTGTACACATCACCTAATGATTTGATCGGGATAATGTTTCCACAAATAAGGCTCATCCCACACATAGTATTTTGCATCACTTTTGAGCTTGTCTTTTTGAGCACGTGTGAATGTGTTGGGATACCTTTTTGTTACCAAAAAGTTAACGATATCGGCATACCAAGGAATAGATTGAGTAAGGGAAAAGAGACGCTCATCCGAAAACTCATCCCGCAATGGGAGACGGGTTTCATTTGAAGTGATCCGGCTTAGATGATCGGCAATGAGGTTCTCGCATCCACTCTTGTCCCGGACTTCCAAGTCAAATTCTTGTAACAGTAGGATCCACCGGATGAGTCTCGGCTTTGCATCTTTCTTCATCATCAAGTACTTAAGTGCTGCGTGATCCGAATGCACTATGACCTTGGTACCAAGTAGGTATTGTCTAAATTTCTCCAAGGCCAACACTATGGCCAATAGCTCTTTCTCCATGGTATAGTAGTTGCTTTGGGCGTTGTCTAGTGTCCTTGATGCATAATAGATCACGTGGGAGGCCCTCCCATTCTTTTGACCCAAAACGGCACCTATAGCATAGTTGCTTGCATCACACATGATCTCAAAGGGGAGATCCCAATTTGGTGCTTGCATGATAGGAGAGGATGTAAGCAACTCCTTGAGCTTGTCAAAGGCTTCTTTACACGCCTCATTGAACTCGAAATCAACCTCCTTTTGCAACAGTTGGCACATTGGTCTTGTTATCTTTGAAAAATCCTTGATGAACCTTCGGTAGAAACCTGCATGGCCCAAAAAAGAATGAACTTCCCGAACACAAGTCGGGTAAGGTAAGCTTTGAATAACATCAATTTTGGCCTTATCTACCTCAATTCCTTATGTAGACACAATGTGACCCAAAATGAAATCTTAACTCACCATGAAATGACATTTCTCAAAATTCAAAACCAAGTTTGTGTCAATGCATCTTTTTAAAAATTTTGTGAGATTTGTCAAACATTCTTGAAAAGAGTTGCCATATACCGTGAAATCATCCATAAAAACCTCAATTATGTTTTCAACGTATTCCGAAAAGATACTAACCATACAACGTTGGAAAGTAGCCGGGGCATTACATAATCCGAATGGCATTTTCTGGTATGCAAAAGTACCAAATGGACATGTAAATGTTGTCTTTTCTTGGTCCTCCGATGCCACCGGGATTTGGTGAAAACCGGAATACCCATCGAGACAACAATAATGAGATTTTCCGGCCAACCTTTCTAACATTTGGTCAATGAAAGGCAATGGGAAATGATCTTTTCGTGTGCTTTCATTGAGCTTATGGTAATCAATACATACTCTCCACCCTTTTTGCACATGGGTGGGGACCATCATACCTTTGTTGTTTTCGACCACCATGATTCCCGTTTTCTTTGGCACGACTTGAACTGGACTCACCCACTTGCTATCCGAGATCTGATAGATCATCCTGGCATCTAGGAGCTTCAAAATCTCTATCCTGACCACTTCCATCATTAGCGGATTCAACCTTCTTTGCGCGTCCCTACTTGTCTTCATTCATCCTCATGAAATATCTTGTGCATACAAGTGGAGGGACTCAAACCTTTGATATCCGCAATCATCCAACCCATTGCTTCTTTATGTTCCCTCAACACCTTTAGGAGTTGTTCTTCTTCACACTTGGTTAGGTGAGTTGAAATGATAACCGGAAGGGTCTCATTGTCTCCCAAGTACGCATACTTCAAATGTTGAGGAAGGACCTTCAATTCTAATTCTGGCGGTTGGACAAGGGAGGTTGGCAATCTTGTGTGAGTTTGAGGTAATTCAATTTGCTTCACACTAAATTGGGTGGTCTTCTTGATCTCCAAATTGTTGACCAATCTTTCAATTTCGGGGTCTAGTGAATAGAGCGTCAACTTCTTGGCTAATTTTGCACAATCAAACCCCTTGCTCAAAACCATCTCTAACATGTCATCATCACACAACTCGAACAATTTCTGAGTCAATGGTTCGACAACATCTATGAAACACAAAGATGAAACATCACTAGGATACCTCATAGCATCATAAATGTTAAAACTTATTGTTTCACCATCAAATTCCATGGTTAAGCTTCCCACATACACATCAATCTTTGTTCTATCCATCTTCAAGAATGGTCGCCCAAGTAAGATTATACCCGATTTCAAGGATACTCGTTCATCTAGGTCAATCACATAGAAATCCGCTGGGAAGACCAATTGGTTCACTTGAACTATGACATCTTCCAAAACACCTCTAGGAAAGACACTTGATTTATCCGCAAGAGATATTATGAAACCGGTTTCGCTTAAGGGTCCGACATTCAATGATTCATACACTGAGTAAGGCATGACATTGATAGAGGCACCAAGATCAAGCATAGCACTACTAAAGGTGACGTCTCCAATCTTCCAAGGGACCGTGAACATTCCTAGATCTTTACACTTGGGTGGAAGCTTCCTTTGTAAAACCGCGGATGCATTTTTGTTCATCGAGATTTTCTCATTCCCTTTCAACTTTCTCTTGTTGGTGCAAAGCTCCTTCAAGAATTTTTCATATCTTGGAACTTGTTTGATTGCATCAAGTAAGGGAATGTTTACTTCCACCTTTCGGAAGGTGTCCAAGATCTCTTTTTCCTCCAAATTTTTCTTTGAAGTTGCAAGTCGGGAAGGGAACGGTGGTTGAGTGGCTATTGGTGTTACTAGAGGGGTAGTCTTCTTTGGGGCTCCGAATTATGCATCGTTCTTGACTATAGGTTCTTCAATGGGAATGATCTCTATTTCTTCCTCTTCTTCCCTTGGCTTCTTCTTTGAACTACTTTCTCCGACTTGTTTGCCACTTATCAAGGTCACCACATTGACATTTAAGTTCTTTTCGGTTTGAGAAGGGAGTTTACCACGGGATTCTAACTTGCTTATAGATGTAACTATATCTCCCATTTGTGCTTCAAGGTTGGAGATAATAGTCATTGTCTCTTTTTGGAATTGTTGTGTACTAGTGGCTAAAGATTTGACAATTTCTTCAAGAGACATTTCAGAGCTACTTGGTTGAGATTGAGGAGGTTGTTGATGATGATGTGGAGCGTGCGGTTTGGGTTGATAGTGTGGTTGTTGATGTTGGTAATGAGGTTGTGGTGGTGGATAGGATGGTCTAACCAATGAATTTTGAGGCAATGGTCTTGGGTTGTAGCTCATGTTGGGATATGGCTTCCAACTTTAATTATATGCTTTTTGGTAACCGGATTGCTTGTTGTGATAGTTTTGGGACTCTCCCATGGCATTCACATGTTCCGCATCTTCTTGGAGAATGGGGCACATATCTGTAGGATGTCCTAATGTTGCACATATCCCACAAACCATCACTTGTGGAGTTTGTACCATGGCTAGCTTTTGGATAATGGAGGCTAGATCTTTGATTTGAGACTTGAGATTTGATGTTCCCACTTCATTGACTTTGTATTGTGTGTCTCTTTTCATATCTTGGCGAGGGCTAAAATTTTGTGAATTTGCGGCTATGGTGTTGAAAATTTGTCTTGTTTGTTGTGGGGTTTTACTAAAGACATCTCCACCACTTGAGGCATCAATTAGTCTTCTCTACATTGGCAACAATCCCTCATAAAAGTATTGAATGAGGAGTTGTTCTGGAATTTGGTGTTGTGGGGAACTATAGCACAAGTTGTTGAACCTCTCCCAATAATCATGAAAAGTCTCATTTTGACCTTGGCGGATTCCACAAATCTCATTTCTAAGACTTGAGACCCTTGAAGCGGGATAGAAATTATCAAGAAAAACTCTTGCCATGTCGGTCCATGAGTTGATTGACCCTGGGGGAAGATAAAATAACCAATCATTTGCTCTATCGGCCAATGAAAAGGGGAATTCCCTTAGCTTGATTTGGTCATTGGTTGACCCTTGTGGCTTCATGCTAGTGCAAATAATGTGGAACATCTTCAAGTGCTTATGCAGGTCTTCGTTCTCCAATCCATGAAAAGTTGGGAGGTGATGGACTAAACTTGACTTCAATTCTGAACCTCCTTCCAAAACCGGGTAATTGATACCAGTTGGAGTTTGTGTAACATCGGTCTCCATCATTTGCCTCAAGGCTCTTTCGGGAACTTCTCCTCTATTCGCCATTACAATTGGTTCACTAATGGGGGGGGGGGTTTGTTGTAGAGTTGGTGTTTCGGGAATTTCTTGGCGAGGGTCGGGACTAGAATCGGGTTCTATGTCACTTAATGAAACGGTTTCAACATCCGGGTCCCCGTGGGGGTTAGAAGTTTGACCATGTTCAACTCGTTTTTCCTTCGCCAAACGCCTTGCTTCTTTTTTCGATTTCTGGGTTGTAAATCAATTCACCTATACGCTGAGCTCTGGGCATAGAGAAACAAGTTGATTAAAATAAACCAATCCCCGATAATGGCGCCAAAAATTTGGTGGTTGTTGAGGCCAACAAAATACATAACCCTAAATCTTTTACACTAAAATTGTGTATAGTGGTAAAAGGGTCGAATCCACGGAGATTGGTTCAGTTTTATAACTCTATGATAATCTTGTTGTACAATACTTGTAAAACTAAAATAAAAAATAAAATTGGGGGATTTTGATCTTTTGAGATGTTTAAAAGAAAGCTAGAATTGCACTAAGATTTAAAAACACAAATCAACAAAAGAAAAGTTTGATGTAACACTAATAAAAGAAAGATGGTTGACTTTGGACTTTCATTACTTGAATATTTGGTTAAATAATCATGAGAATACCAAGGTACAATACTTATGTTTATAATCTAACTTGGCTATAGCAATTTATAAGCATAACTTGCCTCAACTCTTCTTTTGTATTAAAATGACTAGACAAGCTCATAGCACATTTCCTAAATCAAAGTCACAAAACTAATGAAGCATGTAATTTTGTGAAAATCAATTAGCATTAGGCTTTAAGAGTCACCAAATCCAAAGAGTAATATATTGCTTTCATTACTACTATGGAGAAAATATGTTCTTACTGTAAATAAAATGAAAACAAACATTTAAAGTAATTGTTACGTGTTAAATTGAATACTCATTACTTAGCCAAGAATTTAACCAACAAAAATAAAATTCAAATATCAATATTCATGACTAGAGATATATAAACATGAAGGAAGTTTTTATAGAAAATATAATCATAGATATTCAATACAAGTTCATGGATTTCTTCAAAATAACCAAAATATTCAAACAATTACATCCAAGTCAACCAAATATGAATCTAGCCAAGCATGGCCAAAATGAAAGAAATGCAAAGTAGATTAGTGATACCAAACATTGTTCAAGATACAAGTTGAAAGGAAATTACACTAATCTTCCAAATATTCTTCAAATCTTCCAAAAGCTTCTTAGAGAGAATATGGAGTATGTTCTTCAACTCCTCCCCTTCAAATGAGCCTCCAATCACCAGCTAAAGAGAGCCAATTTCCGGATTCAAAAAGAGACCAAAAGCTACCCACCAAACTTCCACAAATAGAGTCAACAAGTCAAAACCCGGAAACAACTCAGCACAATTAACGCACACTACAAGAAAAAGACCATTTTACGACGCGCAAACCACGACACTCATTGATTTATGTTACGCAAAAGTGTGTGATATTAAAAAAGTGTCACCTCTTCAAAAAATTTAAGGATTTATGTCACACATTATTATGTGCCCTTAAATTAGTGTCTCTAGAAAAGAAATTAAAAACACGAAGGGCGCTTTATTTTAAACGTGCGTCCACTGTACATGTCACTTTATAATTTTAATAAAATGCGCGTTTAGTATAGGGGGAAACGAAATCCCTGAAATTTTGAAAACCCGTCTTCTACCTTCTTTCTATCTTTCATTTTCGCAGTCTACTCTTCCCTTTCCCTCCTTCTCTCTTCTCTGCTAATCCTTAATACCTTGCAGGAATCTAAAAACTAGAAAACCCCATCCTCACAAAGTCTAGGATACCAGGGTTTTTTTAATCCCTCAAAGAACAACCCATATCCTCCAGCAGATCGATCTCTATTGCTTCATTTCTCACAGGATATCGAACACTTTACATTTATAAGGCCAAAAAATTGAATACTGCTTGAACTACGGTTTCGAGTTCGTATTACATAACCCTCCCTCAATCTGTTCTCAATGTTGAATCGATTCCCTGGTTTTGATCGACTCCTACTCACGCCGATCATCGATTTTCAATCGTCGACCATCGTTGCATAATGCCTCGTTCCCAAGATTTCAATGTGTGGTACCTCGATGTCATTTCCTAGGTTGAACTCGCTGATTACGACCTTGTTCATGGTACCATGGTTATTCAACCATACGATTATGCCATTTGGGAAGATATTCATGTAGGTCTTTTGTTTGTTTTGAGACAAACTTGTTAAGCTCTAGCCATTCGCTTTTGATTTTTTTTTACCTTCTTCCAAATTTAACCTAGATTTTCTCAAAGCCATCTGCGAATCTCCTTTTGGGCTTTCTTCATTAGCATGTTTCGAGTTTCAACTACAATCAACTCTCTGGTTCTATTCCAAATTTTATATGCCACATCAGTCTCAAAACCATTTGTTCTTATCCCACTCCCAGATTTATTATTTCTTGAGGACATTTGATATGGGGTGTTAAAAGAAGAAGGTTGTTGCTGCTGGATGTCACTGTCATCTGCTTTTCTATTTTTTTAGTGGTTTCCCATGGACAAATCTTCACGCTCTCTTTTCAATCTCTCATTCACGCTCTCTTTATATGCCACATTTGTGTTTGTGTTGTTTAATGAATGATAGTGCTTCATTGAATCCCGATGCTATTGGTATTGCTGTGCAACCGATTTCTTAAAAGTAACAGGTGGTGCACTATCTGTAGCCAAAAAAGGCTCCTGACAATTGGGACATAGGAGTGTTTGATTCAGGTACATTTTTAGGTATTCATATTGCATCCTGCATCCATGGCAAACAGTCCAAAAATTAGTGGTGGAGCTGTGGGACTTTTGTAATTGCATTTTCTTCCATTCATGGTCACAAACCTAGGTCAGAAGTGGGTGTTGTAGAAGATTAGCAGCAACAATCCGACTTTATGGTATCAACTACTCCTACTTTTCAATTTCCCCTTTTTTATTCACTTTGATGCTTTTATTTTAGGCTTTATTTGTTTATAATGTAAACAACATACGATTTATGTTTTATTTATGGGTGCAGTTTGCTTCCGGTGAAACCATGAGGAAATGCTTGAGCTCTGTATGTTTTCTTGGAACCTAACTTTTATCATTTCCATTATTTACAGCAAAACAAGATTAATAATTTTTTCTTGTGTACTACTTTATGATATTTACTTATTAGGTTGAAGAGAAGGAGTATGGAGTTCAAAACCAATTGAACTACTCACATCATGGATCTTAATATGTGGTCATCTGCAGGTCAACCTCCTCATGCCTTGGTTACTTTTGGTTTTGGTGCGAAGTTGATTGTGATAAAGGATACAAATGGTTCCACATACCCATTGAAAATCAGGAGTGATAGTGAGTTCCACCCTCAAGATGGTGTCATTAAAATGTCCAAGACTGGATTCGGCACCCGCACCAATAAAACCAAGAAACAAAAAGATCCTGTAAGCGTCTCCTCTTTCAGATTTCTCCTAAATTTACTGTTTTGTGATTCTAATCTAATTTGATGTAGAATAAGAATCATAATTTTACAAACAACGATGTTGAAGATAAATCTATGAAGTTACACTACTATATGGACACAAGATCCTCCCTTAGATAGGTGTTTGTCATGTCATAAAACTCATAACATATTAACATAGCATATTTTGTTAGTTATGAAAGAAATGATTTTATCAATGATGAGTGACCCTTTTTGTTTATAATTATAAATTATCAGGGTGTTCTTTCTCAGAGGAGATCTAGCTTTTGGGGTAACCAATTCCCTCTAGCAGTTGAAGCTGTTAGAAAAGCTCCTATTTGCAGTAGAAACTTCATGCGGAATCAACCAATGAATTCATATAGACCAAGGCAAGTTGTTTGTTTTTCTTTAATAACAAGTTGTATTTCATCTCTTACTGCTGCAATAATCTGATTATAAATGCTATTAATTTGGTTTGATGTGCAGGTGGGCTGGTTTACAAAATAGGGGTGCTACAAATAGAGGCTTTGCTGGAAAGATATAACTAAATATTCAAAAAAAAAAAGTTGGTAATATTATTAGCCAAGGTATTGAGAGAGTAGTTTGTTTGTTTGTGACATTTATTTATATGCAGCAGCAATTGAACTACTCACATCCTGTCTTCCCATTGAAAATCAGGAGTGATAGTGAGTTTCACCCTCAAGATTGTGCGAGTGATTGGTTGAACATGTCCTGCAAGATAACGCTTTGGGAATTGGTGAATGCACTTGTGAAGATTTCACCCGAATTTGGGGGCTTGAACAAGCTCTCCCAGCTCCTGTGATGATAGATCATAATATCTTTCCCATGCTAGATCCTTCTTCTCCAGTTTCATCATAATGTCATTTTTAATCCCGTAAAATAGGCATAGTGGGGTTTAGACACTCCAAATCCTGTTGTTTATCATTTTTCACAAGTTCAAGGTTTTCTTGGCTAACTGGGCCCATCCTCTTTTCAAATATAAGCACATGATGCTTTCCAGCCACTCCAATCACCTTTTCATAACAAATATCATTTATCAACTAAAATCTCTGCAATGGCTTCTTTACTATAATTCCAATATACTGTTGAGCAAGTGGGCAAGGTCTGTAACTATTGTCAAAATGAAACAGGCCTTTCTCTAAGTCAACTCACATAAATAACGAAACATCATCATAATTGGGAAGCATTGTAGATAGCCCAACCAACCGAATATGTTCCTTTGTGGTCTCAATTTGTCTAACAGTTCTTGCTACAATACTCTCGAGAACAGGTCCTCTGTTATCTTGTAGAAGATGAATTTCATCAATAATTATACCTTTCTTTCTCAAAAATATATAATTTTAAAAAATATATATATATTGAGAAAGAAAGCTATTTTGAGGGGATTTAGGGTTTGGATTTTGTTGATTTTTTCCGTTGAATTAGATATGGAGAGAATGCGGAAGAAGCTGCAGCGTCGGCTGATTGGAAATGCCCCAGATGTAGAGGAATCTGTAATTGTAGCTTTTGCATGTAAGTGTTGTTGTCGATCTGATATATTGGTACATATCTCTGTTTTCAAGACCTAATTCCCCTAAAAAAAGTTTCAAATTTGACTTTACCAGATTTGGTACTTTTCAAATTATAAATTGAATAATCTATGAACTTTTCAATACCTTTTCCAAACAAACAAGTACCACGGATAACATATAGTTTGTATAATTTTGGCAACAACATTCATTCCAATTTTCCAATCAACAAGTACCCTTTTAACCTTGCACGTCAAAGGTAAAACTTTCATCTTTTTATTAATTTCAGTTTGCCTAAAGTCCAAATAACAAACAAGGGTATTTTTGTAATTTAACAGGAAAACAACACCCCGGATGTAGCGGTTACTAGACTATTAGCATCTGCAAAGAAAGACACTTCTCAATATGGCGATTATGGAGCTTTCGCTAACTGCTTGCAACAGTTGCCACTAGAAGGACAAATTTGGGTATTCACCTTATTTCATTTATTCACATAATATTAAAAAAAACATCTTTTTTTATTGATTTCTCTTTATTTTCTTAGGCAACTGCTGCTGAAGTCCAAACTCTGCTAGGTTATAGGGGATTGACTTAGTTCTTGCAGCACAACTTGGTGATCAGTTCTCTCTCTCTCTCTCTCTCTCTCTCTCCCTCCCTCCCTCTCTCTCTCTCACACACACACACATTCTAAAAAATCTACGTGATTATAGAATTTTTCTATTATATTTTAATTCCTACCTTCTCTTTGATTTCAATATTCTGGATTTAGCATCTTCTGTTGAGGTTATTCTTACACTTTTTGCATTCAAGTGTATGTCTCCATGAGGTAATTAATTTTGATCATGTATCTTTATTGCTATTAAACACTACTATAGATTATAGAATCCTGATACATTAGTAATAATCATTTTTTTTAAATGTTTTCAGCTATTAAACACTACTATAGAACAAGAGCACCCTGTTGTGTTTACAGGCAATACCCTGTTGTGTTTACAAGCAACACATAGGTTGGTGAAGTCTTTTTAATTTGACATGAAAACCGCAACCCTGAGGTATGTTTATTCAGCTACTCATCAAAATGGTTCATGCACACCACATGATGATATATTATCAATAAATCAAGATAATAATAATAATATGAAAACTTTAGTTACTCCATTAGGCAACCTTTCATCACCTTCACCTATGACGGATTTATTAGACATATTCACCTAATATGTTTATTTATTTATTATTTTATAATAAATTTTGGTAAAAAAAATTATTTTTTAAATTCTTCAGTTCCATTTGGAACCTGCTAGCAGTAACTCTCTTCCTGCAAATGGTAACGGCTCAATAACACAAAAATTACGAGTTAACAACACTCAACATGGCAAGGTAACTATAAATAAATCATCATGGAATGAAATGTTTGTGTGTTTTTTTAAAAATATCATTTACATGATGAATGTTGATTGTTATGGCAGAAAGCAATCATTATGCGCATACGAATAAGTTACAAGTTGAACAACAAAGACATGTTGGAAGAAAGACATCCCTCGTGAGATATGATAACATTTTTCTCTCGCTTCTATCACCATCTCTTAGTGTTTATATTTGGGACAATGTTATTAAATATTATTTGTATCTTTGTATTCCCATGTTCTTAGGTCCAAATCATGGATATTTGAATTTGTTGATTTTGGAGGTGAAATGAGACATGATATATGGTGCTAATAAAGGTAAGACAAGGGCAACAAATTATTCCATTAATGACATTAATCACTTGCATTTGTGATTGTATTCATTACATATGGATTCAATACTTAGCTAAGTTGACCTAGCATTTTATTCTTCTAGGTTCACTCAATCAGTTCTTGTTTTTGTTGTAAATTGTAAATTGTAATTCAGGGTATTCTTGGTCCATGTGCATCACTTGAGAAGGTTCATATAGTATTTTTAAGATTTTTGACTCTTTGTTGACTAATTGTTGTTTTTTGTGCAGAAAGGTGCTTTATGTTCTGATACTATCATTGGTCAAGGGGGTACTACTACATGGAAGGTGCTTCAATACACACTTGCTTACAACAATGTACACAAATTAACTAAGGAAATAGCAATGTAGTACTAGGTTATATAGTTAGGGAAAACCTCTTAATAATAATGTACAAATATTTGTCTACTATTTGAATGATTATTTGTATGACAATAAATTTTATGCAATGGATTGTATTTTTTGTATATTGTATTTTATTTTCTGTTATGAGACATTAAATGCAAATTTAATTTGAAAATTAGTAAATTTTGTAAATAATATTTTTTTTTAACATTTAAAATTATGATACGCAAAAATGTGTGTCATCTTCGTTTATGACATGGCCTTTCTTGACAGGGGCTTCCTTGATACGCATTGTGTGTCATAAACATGCACGTCGTAAGGTTACAACACGCAAATGTGTGTCGTCTTTCTTTATGACAGGGCCTTCCTTGATACACATTGCGTGTCATAACCGCGCGTCGTAAATGCGTGTCGTAAATGCACGTCGTAAATGCGCGTCATCTCTCTTTATGACAGGGCCTTCCTTGACGCGCATTTGCGCATCGTCTGATCGTTTTACGATGCGCAATGAGCGTCGTAAAAGGCTGTTTTTCTAGTAGTGGCAGATCGCCTATGGTCCCACGCGGACCGTGCGGGTCACGCTGAATGTGAAACTTAGGCCATTTAACATGCATTTAAGCCCAATCTTCATTTCTTCAACTTCAGCCCATGATCATAACTCTTTAAGACCCATTTGCCATTCCAAAGCCTTCAAATGATTAACCCAATACTCCTTAAATTTTCTTGTAGCTCGATTCTGCGCCGCCTCATCATCATCCTTGCCCATAAATTTGATCTAAATTGATTTGTTCTTTTACGCAAGCACCTAGCCCAGTCGCACCACTTCAAGTCCACAAACAAATCACATGCCTCCATGAGTCTCGCACCCTTCTAAGCCTCCAATAACAAATAGTTTTCGGTAAATCCTGCAATTAAGCTCAAAAGACTAGAAAGCACCCGGTAAAGGAGAAGAATGACAAAAAGAGAAAATATGCATGAAGATTGACTAAAATGAGATGGTTTTAACTAAAAATAAACTATGAAAAGAAGTCTTTTGGTAGTTACGTTCTTGGTGAATTTGAAGTCTTTTAGGAATCCAACTAATCTGTAACATTTGTTTGCAGTATGTCCAGATTTCTTGCAGAAAGAACAGTATTGATTCTTTTTATTTTCATAATTTCCTCTAGTATTATTTCCTCTGTATCCAAATTTGACAGAAACATTCAAGAAAGCTGATTGAGATATGAAGTTAGAAGGTGTTTGTACCTCTCTTTGTTTTTCATCATGTATGAGAAGAGCATAAGCTTGAGCAACAGTGGGGAGTAGCTTCATCATGAGAATATTACTTCTAATAGACTTGTAATCTCCATTCGGTCCCATAAGAAATTTGATGAGCCTTTGATTTTGTTGCAGTTCTTGCATCTGTTGAGCAGCATTACATGTGCAATTTGGAACTGTTAACAAAGCATTTAATTCATCCCAATTCTTCTTCAAATTAGTGAAATAAGTGTCAAGATCATTAGATCCTTGAGACAAATCAGATCTCTTTGTTGAGTTGATATAACTTTGCACCATTTGATTGACCGAATCTATCATCCAGATCTTTCCAGATGTCTTCAGTTGTGGATGAATATAA